GTCCATTGTATGCATAATCATTTCCTAAGACGGACCGTGGACGTGGTACATTCCCATACGTTTCGTCGGCATCGTAGTCGGCATCATCAGGGAGTCTCGCCATTCTTAGCACCATTCAACAACTTATCACAGAGATAAGTGAAGTCGATCCGTTGACCAAACGTGTTCTAAACAGTTGTGGTATCTCCCTTTCTGCCCTGGGTTATTCACATATCCTATATCCTCCTATCACGCTTTAACTGTTTTAATGTTTACCGTACCTACTACACTAGATCGAAATAGACACGATAAACATTGAAACAGTGAAAGTGTGACAGGAGAATATAGGAAATGTGAATTGCCCAGGGCAGAAGCGGAGATACCACAACTGTTTGGTCAAAGTATCAGCTTCAGTTGTCTCTTTGACGAGTTGTTGTATGATGCTACGAACGTCCACGGTTCAAATTTGGAAATGATCATGCATACAATGGACTCCGGACTAGGTGCGTTCCTTTAAGTCTTCCTACCAATATGACCGAGTTTTTAAAACAAGCTTAAACAACTTCTATACAACGAAAGGAGACTGCGACCACACAGTCTTCATACCAAGTTTTCCCCAGATGTTGAAAGTCATTGAAGATCGTTTTAAAACCCAAATTTTGTTAACTTCATCATATTTGCAAAAACGAGCTGAAACCAACACCAGGAAAATGTAACGTGGGGCGCATTCAACGATATATCATCATACTCGACCAGACAAAAGGCCACACCATCTTGGTCTTCATACCTATGCTTAACGATAATTCACCAAAACAAGAAGACATTAAAGATCTTGGCGTTGAGCAGTCTACCGTCTACAAATCTACAGTCACAGCTCCAAAGCAATCATCCTACAGCTTCCGATTAGACCAAATTACGAATTCCTTCCACTCGCCTCTTCAAAAGAAATTAAGGGTACTCCAATATCAATATATTAAGGGATTCTTCGAAACCCTATTTTTCTACGTACCTAAGAAAGTTTAGTATGTTTCGTTTATAAGTATGTTTTCGAGACTATCTGTAAAATTTGCTACATTATTTAGATCGTTTGAAGAGGCGAATGGGAGGGAATCATTATCTGGCTTCGACGAAAGCCGAACGAAAATGGCATTGGGGCTAAGACTGTAGATTTATGCGGCTTAACTCGGCTTACCCTCCATATTTAACGAAGATTCATCATACTCTAAAGGCAGACACTTCGTCTCATTGCTCAGGTCACTTTTGGCAAAGCATGTTTTCCTTATCTGACGATGCCTGCCACGCATTCATCGATGTCGTGGGACAGTGCGCCGAGGACTTATTCACACAACTACAACTCTAAGGCTGTCCTCGTTCGATAACCGAGGAAGCCAGTTTACGAATCTATTCTATTCGCCTTTTCAAACAAGATAAAAATTACGATACTATTCAATATGTAGTGACTGCTAGCAATTAGCACCACGATTAAATTACGATTAGGAGTAATATTGCATTCACCATCATCATATCATGTACACACATAAAAACCATTAAATCCTCTCTTTTACGTCATCACAACCACCGACAGGACTCGAATCGGGGTGTGAGACTTTGTCTGGCTACAGAGTAGGCTCGGTTTTCAGCTTACACTTCATCAAACTTTACTAAAGTTTGGTGGTGGTTGTCGTGGCGGCCTCTTGAAGCACCCTATCTGTCTGTTCGACATTGCAGAGTAATGCAAAGATAATTGTGGCAGTTCCATTTGGTTCTGGTTGATTAGCTGGTCGACTGGTGGGGTGTGCTCTCTAAAGGAAACATTATAAAATTACTTGCACCGTTCCGCCCTGCTGTGGATTCCCCATCAGGTGACGGTCACCCGCAGACTTATTTCTGTCTCGTCTGAGGGAGAGAGGAGACTTCCTAAAGTAGAAGTCTTTGATATTCACTGTTTCTACACGAAACCTGACACGGTGGAGCACTCTTCTTGTTCGAAGCTGATTTAGCGCTTCATTTCACGAGACCGTGTTCCTTGAAACCTAGCTTTTATCCACATAAACTTTATTCTATCAGCATTTGACCATAAAAAGATGCACAGATTGCTGCAAAGTGGACTGTCTAACCCAAAGGTAGACAGAAACTGTCTGTCACACCGACGTGCGACAGCATTGCTGATATGTTATTCGAAGTCGCCCTGACAACACAACTAGATTGTCGAAACGAACTGAAATAATAGCAAAGTTTACGCCAGAGCTACATTAGCGGGAATCTGGCCTGTGTTGGTCGGGACGGAGATATGTCTGGCCAATCCTGAGCATAGCCAAACTCTTCACTTTGAAAGGTGCTTGTCCAATAGGTATAGCGTGGAGTAGAGCCCAGTTATTAACAACAGTTTGGTAGCACGTCTGCCCAAATGTCCCCAACACTGATATAAATTGAGAGAGGCTAGCTTTGCCTTTAAAGTCATTATTGTCTGGTCTGTAGGCTAAACTGCCTAACTATAAACCCACACAACTATGGTTAGAATCGTTGCGAGTTGAAGACGACAAAAGCAAAACGTCCCTTCGATTAATCACAACAAAAATGATCAATCTAAAACCAAGAGTTTCACATTTCTTCTAGTCTTTAATGACAACAATAGAAAGATTGTCTTGGCGTTGGGACAGACATTGCCAAATAAGTAAAGTATTCTCTAGACGAACTCAACCCAACTCAGAGGATATGATTAGAACTTGGTTCCATTAATAAGGGATTTTATGCGTTGGCCGGCTATTTCATACTCCTCATACATGTTTGTAGATGAGCGAAGTGACTCCAGATTATAATTCGACATCTTGCCTCGCCAATATGGGGGAAAAAACTTTTTTTTCAATTATAGGGAAGGATCATAATCTGGTAGGAAGAATAGGAAAGTATCTCAAATAACTAGGGAATAGGATGATAGGAAATTTCTGTTTGGAGTCAGGCATGTGATTGGATCGCCCTCTATTCTTTTGATTTTATTATTCAGTACAAACAAGAAAAATTAGTAAAATTACTAGAGACTACTCGTAAATCATAAATAAGAGCTGTGCTCACCCTATCTCATTTAAGGTAGTGAAGGTCTGGTACTTGAGTTTTCACACAATCATATGAACAGGCCCAACGTCTACATTAAAATTCACAGTGCTTTGTTTCCAAAATATATTTTTATTCAGGGTGGACTGCAGTTTTTATCTCGTCTAGGTCTCGTCAACGCCACCAGCAGTACTCGAATGTATCGAGGCTACAGGCTTCGTTATCATAGCTCGGATTCTAGTTCAGCTGAGTGCCGTGGGAGCGATGCAAGGTCCAAACTTCAGAATCCGCTTGCATGGATGAGAAAACCTTTGGGGAAGCAAAGCTCTGTGCAATTCAGCGCAAAGGTGGGTCCTTCTTATAGGATTATGGGAAAATTAAAAATCCAATCATTCATAAACTTAAACGAAATCAGATAAACACATTTCTTACTATATGAAGGATTGCCTTGGAGCTGTGATTGTATATTTGTTGCGAATATTTCCGCATAGCATCGTCCCGCAGCCATGCTTTAGGATAATTCACGAAGCACAAAGACAATAAAGTCGACCGGATGCAATCTTACCTACTTACTTTGTCCACTTAATGGGACATATCAGGATTTGGTTTGCTCCCCGCATGCTTTGTGAAAAGTGAAGTGGCCGCAGGTGACATGTTAAATTGATGAAATTGTGACTGATTACCTGCATCACCCCCATAGTCATTTGTCTTGTCGGTTCTGCAATGTTAACGCTCGCAATTGTATTCCATTGCAAATGTGTTGTGTGCATACAATTCTCGCGAGTCGCGTGAGGTGTGGAATGAGAACCTGGTTAATGCTCGACGGTTTACCCTCTCTTTCTCTCCCTCCCACACACATACTAATCCTATCCAACAACAACAAGTAGTTTCCGCTTTATATCCTACATGCACACCTCGTGTCTTTGGGCCAGTTTCTATCTGTACACTCACAAACCTGGACATACTGCTTTAAGATTAGATCGTCAATATAAAAATTAAAATGATGGGCCTTCTTAGTCTTTTTCCTTCAGCTTTATAGTGTTGATTTGACCTAATTTTTACAACTTGGTCGGAGTGAAAGCGAAACTTTGTGTAACATACCTAATCCCGCGTCCTTTGCAATATTATTCGTGACTTCCAGCATTGCAACATTGACTTGGTACATTCCAAAACGTTTCGCCGGCATCACTGTAACTTATCAAAGTGACAGGTGAAGGCAATCCCTTGACCAATTTTCTGTTCAATCGTGACATCACTCCTCGCATTTATTCTTCGTTCTACATTCTAGTGCTGTATCTCTTTCTTCATATGGCACATTGACCATATTCTGTGCTCTCGTTTCCTACAATGTCGCCAAAGGTTGTGTCGTCGCAAGTGAATTCAGTGAAGCGTAATCATCTTCCCCACCGGTCCCAGATGCCGTTTGAAGGGCTTTTGACTTTCATTCAGGCCCTCTCCATCCGGCTACATGTGAAAATCACTGTCGGGCTGCTTCTGAGCCTTCATTTCCGGTCCCCTTTACGCCATATGCCAGAATTTATAGCCCGTGAGCTCATGCCGAGGCATCTTCCTCTCCTTAGGCTTCATACCCATGCCCCAGTTATCCTCGTTCTCATCCCCATCCGCCATTCTATCTCATTCATTGCGGCCCTGTATTCGGCTTAATTCGAGACCGCTGACGTGAACATGCACCGCTCCTGCTTCCAACTCCTAATTCGCGTAAAACACACTCTTCTTCTCTCCTACGTTGACAGTCTAGGAGACTAGTCAGTCCTTTGTGTGTACATTGGTTGGTATCCCCCGCTGATCAGGCATAGCACCATTCGCCTCTCATTAAGGCATACACTCGAAAAATGCACACACACACACACACACACACTGGGGCCAGATTTGCAATTTGATGATAAAATATCATCCCGATAAGGTCTGGCACATCTATACCTTTGGCCCAGCACCTCTAGTAAAGCATAATCTGCCTATTTCTGGCTTTTAATTTCCTATCCCACATCCCACAGGAGGACTCATACCGGTACATTTTTGGCTGATTCCAGGTTTCACGGTATCCACTTTTCTTAACTTCCAGTTATCTCTCATGCTTCTCTACTCTGCGATGCCTTTTCCTGTAATTCTATAGTTTTCCTTAGTCTAAGTGCCTCTTTTTGCTGCCCCGGATGAATCAGTACGCCAAATTCCATGGTCTCCGGGATCTTCCTCACATGAGGCCAGTATTTTCATTGTACTCCGATCCATAGTGTGGCGGGTTGGGGCAATGTGTTCAGATATCTCCCATCTATCTGTAGCCATTTTTCTACATATTCGCTGGTCCTCTTTGATCTTTGTTCTGCTTGTCCTTCCAGTCTCTGAGGTGTATTTTTGTTTACTGTCCTTGCAGTGTATGTAGCACTCCATTTTGTTGTTTTATTCATGTTGTGTGAGAATGATGATGAAGAGGGTTGTTCTTTCCTTCAGTATTATATGAATGTCCAATTTCCATACTATCAGCCGCAGCTTCCGAGCCAATTCGCAGGATAGTAGAAATATCAATTGTTTTTCCTCTGTTCCTTTTGCTTTCCTTTCATAATCTCCCTCTTTCCATCTGACCATCACCACCCATATGTTGCATTGTATTGTTTCCAAGAGACATCTGAGTTAGTTTTTTCCCGTTTCTCTTCCCAGAACTAAGAATCTTATGTCCACATTCCTGAGGATTTCCACCTTCATTCAATGAGTATGGTTGAGTGGAAGTTAAGGTTTATTCCTGTATGTGATTTACTTCGAACAGCCCTTACTTAAGTCTCCTCTGAGTTAATGCCCTTCCCTTCCAAGAAAGATAGATGTCTGTTCTCTTCCACATCCATGGTAAATTTAACTTTCATCCATTTCGTTTATGAAAATCAGGAAATCGTCTAGTTTTTATTTTCCATGCTACCCTCAAAATATCGCATAGTTACTATTGGCTGCTGAAATTCTCCTTCAACTTGTCCATCAAGACATTAGCCAACAAAGGTGAGTGGTGAGCCCGTAGGCAGACCAAATATATGCGGCCGTTGAACGTGAAATAGTTAGGCCAGTTAATCGGGTTATATACTCTTATCGGATTTGCTTCGTCTTCTCTTTTCAAGATCTCCAGTAGTGCAGAGAGTATTTCTGCTTCTGTGATGTTGGTGTAAATGGACTATTATACATCAAAGCTGACAAATAGTTCGTTTCACCCCAAAAAAATTTGTATGGATTCTTCAATATATTCGATATTATGTTATTTACCTTCTTAAACTTGAGGCAGTTTATGTGCTGCACCGTGTTTGTTCTTGACTAGTAGTCTCAAATGTCCCTTTTATTCTTGTCTACCTTCGGCAAAAAGCATGCTACTGTGTCTCTCGCATACCTTTGTAGAAGTGAATTAATTGCTCATTTGTTTATTTCCTCTTTCGTACTCCTTTCCTTAAAGAATTATTGCAGTGCCCCTTCAATTGTAATTGCTAACTGTTGATAAGTTGTGGTGTTCGAGAATATTTTCCATTTTCTCTGTACTTCCATTCTTGCCAATCACTAATATTACAACCTTTTTTTTGACTTTTTGAACTATTTCACTGGTTCTTTTGAATTCTCTCTATATATCTTGTTTACATTTTTATTATCAGTAGGCCTTTGGTGCTCTAAGATTATTGATATGATTTTCATTTCCAGATCTTTTTTTTCTGGTAGCTGCTCAGAGGCATACATCACCTCCACTAAAATGTTCTTGATTGCCTTCCTTTCATACCGAAGTGAAAATGTAGTCCATTTCTGGGGAGCTCTGTGGTTTACGGGTCAAAATGGACGGAAAACGATTTACTACTTTATATACATTTCTTGTCTGAACTGTGAGATGGGTTATTCTAGAGGTATCTTCATTTTGGCCGAGTGGTTGGACCTTGGACTGCCTATAAATCCCATATTTGTTCTCCTTCTTTTTGTGCGCTTTTTTTATTAAGACCGATATTTTTTTGACATTTTGTCTGTCATTTTCTGTAGTTTCAGGAAATCCTTCAGATTGAGAATCCGACTCATAGTTGCCTGAGTCTAGATCTAACATGTAAAAACTTGACTAATTTTCCTCTCTTGATCAAATGTCTTTACTTATTTTTGCGAAGAAGCTTAATATGGTATATCATTTACCTTAACGGAATAATATTTTATCATCAAATTGCAAATCTGGGAGGGATGCCATAGTGATTATAACAGCTCTTTTGGGTGCAGTTAATCTATTAATTATTGGTTGGTATCTCGTCCATGAACACAAGAACTTGTAATAGCAAAATTTGTAGAGAGTCTCCCAAAATATCCGAAAATATGGCATTACTGAGGAAGGTTTTTACATACATTATCTTTATCTTCTACTTTATACGTAAATCGCCCATCTTTTTCGAGAGCTGACAAGAGGGTAATATCCTTACCCTAGCAGATAGGTCCTGGATTAGAACACATTTTGGAAAAGCAAGGCTAAGTGGAATTTAATGGAACCGTCAGCTCTACTCATATCATTGTTATAAAATTCAATTACCAGTCCTTCATAAACTTAAACGAAATAGGGTTAAAACAACTTATATATCTGATTTACTGGTAGTTTCGAAAACCTACCCATCCACGAAGAATGTTAATTTACGTCGGTTAATCATCAAAATATACATGTTCTTCGCATTCTATCCTCTGATCATCGAATTATTGGGCGGATTTATCAGAATTCCTCATTGGCCTCACCGGAAGTCTTGGGGTTGTGACTGAATTTGAGATGATACACACAACTTAAAACAGCCTAAAAGTGATTTTAAGTCGAAATATAAAAACGGGCCAAATTTGTGGCTCGCCAAACGCCTAACTGGATATGGAGATTATAACAGTATGCAGAAGATTAGGGAGTCCATAGAAATAAACCAAATTGCCAAGAATCTATGACTGTAAAAAATAAAGCGGAAATTATTTATGACTATTAGATAGGCTTTAAGATGAAGGGAATGGGAGGTATGAATCAAAAGTACCGGAGAGTATAAAGAAGCTTGATTAGCCTCGAATCAGGTTTTCACCCTCACACCTCGCGCGACTCTCAAGCATTTAATACAAACCAAAACACGTTCAATGGAAGACAATTGCATGCGTCAACATTTCAGGCCAAAATATGAGTGATTTAGGGAAGGGTGCAACCGTTGGTTCGCAATTGCATCTGTTTCACGCGTCATCTGTGACCATTTCTAATAGCGTTAGCAGCCACTTGTGAACAAACATGTAAGGAAGGCATCTGATAGGAAACCAAATCATCATGTAGACAAACTAGGCAGTAAAGATTGCCACAGGCCACCTCTATTATTTTCGTGCTTGCTGAATTATCGCAAAGTACCGCTTCCTCTCATGACCCTCACAATACGTACGGAAACTCAATAGGGATACATCAGGATCACAGGATGGTGAAGCCAAAAGGCTTCCGGTGATGCCAGCTTTAGAATCCAATTCACTCGCCTCTTAAAGCGAAATGAAAGGTGGGCCAGCATCCACACAAGCTTGAGTACACAGTATGGGTTATAGATAATACATGAGTAGTTCATATAGCGAATAGATTTTATATACCGTCATTAAATCTTGATTTAGAATTGATCAGGCCAATTGGTTTTTTATGTGGCGTAAGAATTGAGGGTTAGGTTATCACAATAAAATGGGGAGAACCTCTGTTGGCACCCAAAGTCACATTGTCTTGTCTTTAAATGGATTTTATCTTCCAGGCTGAACTGCAATCTATTTATGAGTTATGTTCAACCCATTTCGTTTAAAGTGACGAACGACTAGTGGTCGAATTTTCCCAAAATGATATAAGTCGAGCTGACGTTGCTATTGAATGTCACATAGCCTTGCTTTGCCAAAAGTTGTTCTCATCCAGGATGGACTGCAATTTTGACCTTGCCTAGGTCCCGTCAGCATCACTGGCATGACACAAACAATGACATTTCAGCGTACAATCCTGACGCGCTAACCACTACGCCACACTGTCACGAGTGCCCTTGGATAACAGGGCATATGTGAATTTCAAAGAGGGCCAGGCATTTTTCCATAGCACGTTTTGTGTGCTCTGTGACCCAAAGGCACTCGTGACAATGTGACGTATTGGTTAACATGTCGAGACAATGTGAATCTGGGCGCCATCCTAAGGAATCCACATTTCATTGTCCTTCATCACCTCAAACGAAATAGGGTGAACATAACTCATAGGTGTGATTTACTGGTAGTCTCAAAAACTTACTAAAAATGCATTCAATTTGTTTGTTAAATTGAAGATGTGAAGACCAG